TTTCGCTCGGCTATTTCAGCCGGCGTTAGATGTCGCTTCCCTTACCTAGTGACTATTCTAGTGATAATCACTAGTAACGAGAAAATCTCGTTACAGGCTTTTATCCTATTCACACTGAGAGAAAAAATTTCTTTTGACAAAGATGATATGTTTGATACAAGAAAATACCCTCTTGTCTATTTTTTTAAAATTTCCCAAGACTAGAGATCACGCCCTGTCCATCAAATTATGTAGTTTGGGTTAGATCTATGCTTTTTGCTTCCGAATGGAAGTTTTACGATTGTTCAGTTTTGACATTTTCTAATTTTCATTGGAAATGATGTAGAATGGTCTGAAATGTAAAAATACGCAGTTTGGCGACAATGTCTGTGCCCCCCCCCCCCCTCCCACTTTTCGGAAACTGAATTTTAGAAAATACAACAATAAGAGGATAAAAAAAATTCCAAAAAATTTGAAATTTTGTTACATTATAGGTCCTAAGTGGGACTAACTCTGGCCGCAGGATCAGCCCGATCAGTCTAATAGTTCCCGAGAAAAAGCCATCTCTTTTTTATCGTTTTTTGCAAATTTTTGCAAAACTAGTGGGCCGATTCAACTTTTTTTTTTCTAAATATTCGCCTCGGTGGCCTCTATTTAGATTGATCAAAACCTATATAGCCGTCGATACAAAAATTCCGAGATATTTCCTCTTTTCTGTTTTTTTTTTGTAAAAAATCGTTGTACACTCTCTAGCCTTCGCAAAATTGTAAATATCAACATGATATAAATATAATTTAAAAAAAAAAATGGATACATGAAGTGTTGTCAAAAGTCTTCTGTCCAATGGGCCCGGCTAACTGCTTGTTTCTTAGGACATTGATTACATTATAGAATATCTCGCAGAAAGAGCGCAACACTTAAGATCAATTTTCTATACACTTTAATTGAAAATAAAAGTCTTTGTCGTTTAATCGAACCCAGAATTTCTCAATTGGCGGTAATAAGTGATCAGGTCCAGAAAGGAACGATTCTCACTATCAATTAAATTCTGAATGTAAAGCGCGCGACATGAACCTAAGAAAACATTTATGCTAGCGCTTAAAAAGCTTGTTGAGACAAAAAAACCTCATCTTATTGAAACAGTTTTTCCTCTCAGGTCGAAGGCAACATTATTTATTGAAAGATTTCAGGTTTTTGAAAATTGTCAAGAAAATATTCTCCTGTATTGAGTAATGCCGTCTTTGTAAAAATTAATTTTTTCTCTCAGTGCATGAATCGAGAACAACCAAAATGAAGTTAGCTTAGAGTAAGACATTTATTCGACTCCTGATTGGTCACTCCCATCTCACTAACGAAAGACTAGGCTAGGGACATTCAAACTCGACGCGCGTAGCGCGCTTTCGGCCTCGTTTCTTTTAACCCTTCTGAACTGGCGTTCCACCGCCGGCCGAGTCCACTGGCTCGGTGAGCACAGTGCCGCCCGCGTTAAATTGAGCGCTGCGTTGCCATTTGACAACTGCCTGACGCCCGAGGTGAGGGAAGTAACGTACCAATTGTGGCAACTGTGCGGCTGAAAATCGACTACTCGCATCCACTGGCTCCGGGCGGCATAACGCCGTTTTTCCGTACCGAGCTTACTAAGTTTTGAGTTTATACGATCATCATGTTTTTTTAAGAAACGAGAAGCCCTCAATCCGATTGGGGAAGGTTTAGAGAAAACATTCCAATTTTTTGGAATTTTTTGAACCACAATTACGAGTGTGAGACGCGAAAAACGAAAAAAGGCGGCGCACGTTCTGCACACATTTAAAGAATTTAACTTGGAAGAGGAATATCTTGTTCTGAAAGAAACACACATGTCAATGGATTTATGACTTCTTTTTGGAGTTGACAAAGTGTCCGGATTCGGACGGATTCGCAGGATTGCTCTCAACAAACGGAAAAGAAGGAAATAAGTGGGGAAGTTACAGGTTTGACCCGCAATGGGTCTTACCCAATTCCATCAACTCTTACACCCAGAAAAATGATTTATTTGAGTGAAATAAAGTTTATTTGATTCAAATAGATAGGCTTATTCAAATAGTCTGAAATAAATTTTTTTTTATTTGCAACGAAAGTTTATTCATTTCTAACAATCCTTTTTTGGAATGAAAAAACACAAATACAAATTTTCATTTGAATACAAAATAAACACTTTTTCTGGATGTATATTGTTATATCGAGATCAGCGGGAGAGATAGAATTCAGGTCCCCCTAATGGATATTGCAGTGATGGTCAACTTAGTAGGGGAAGAGAGGGTATTACCGGACACATAAGCCGAATTCTTCACATAATTTATTGGAAATACTCCCCAATATTAAAAGAAATTGCTAATTCAAGATTATTTATTCCACTTTCATCGTATATCAAAAATATAATGATAAATTCAACTGATTTTTCATCATTATTTTTTGTTGAAAAAGTCTTATTTTTCGGTATTACCCGACTTGGAGGGTAATACCGGACACGAGGCTGGTATTACCGCCTATGAGTGATAAATAAGAAGAAAATGAATTCAAATGGGAATTATTTATTAAATTACCCCTGGAAATTATTTTTTCAAATTCATCCACAGAATAAAAAAAATTCGGATATAAAAAAAAATACTAATTTCCAGAAGCTAATTTGGAGCCATGCATTTCTCAGATGCTACACGCCTCAAAATTTCAATATTTTTTTTTTATCGTTATCGCGAGATTATGTTATCGAAACTTCCCCAAAAAAAAGAATTACAGCATCAATTTTATGAAATTTTTATAGGCAAAAAAAATCATCCCTTTTTGAGATATTAGAGTGTCCGGTATTACCCGCTGTCCGGTAATACCGTCTCTTCCCCTACTTACTAAGCACTAAGTACTTAAGTACATCAAGTACTTCGTGCTTAATTCCAACTTAGTACTAAGTACCCAAGGTACTTAGTACTTGAATTGATTTAAAAAATCCATTGATTGAAATCAATTTAAGTACTAAGTGCCCGAGGCCTTAGTCTTGCCTAAACATTAAGTACCTCAGGTATTTGTTGCTTAATTCTGTCTAAGCACTAAGTAGCTTGGGTACGTAGTACTTAATCCTTTCCAAGTACAGAGTATCCGAGGTACTTAGTACTTAGGGATCTTAAGTATCTCGGGTACTTAGTGCTTATATAGACATCCACGACTTTCTTGAATTTTGAAGCTGAACAAAGTATTTTCCCCGTTGCTAGGAACCAATTCCTCCTTTTTTTAAGACTAGCGCTGTCGCGGCTGCGACATTAATGCTCTTCTGTTGTTCATTTTTCTAATTTTTCAATTTTTCTAGTTTTCAATTTAAGAATGTTTGAATTCTTGAATCTTCCATTTTTTGTTCCCTCAACTTTACAACTTTTCAATTGGTTAATCTCCAAATTTCCCGAATATTGCGATTCTTCAATTTTCAATTTTTTTTCTTTCAAATTTACAAATTCAGAAGTTTTCAATTTCCAGAATTGAGGATGCCCTTCCGTCATTCCTTTCCCTCTTTTCCAATTGAAAAAGTCGCCAATGGTTGAATTGTCAATTTTGTGTTCTTCCAAATTTACAAATTTTATATTTTTTAATTTTCAAGTTCTCAGAATTTTTCCTAGCGACGGGGAAAATACTTCATTAAGCTTGAAAATTCAAGAGAGCGGCAGATGTGTAAGCACTGAGTACCCTAGATACTTGAGATGCCTAAGTACTTGGAGAGGATGAAGTACAAAGTACCTCAGGTACTGAGTACTTAGACAAGATCAAGTGCTAAGTACCTGAGGTACTTAGTGCCTAGGTAAGACTAAATACTGAGCACTCGAGGTACTTAGTACTTACCTAGGACTTTAAGTACCAATGTACTTAGGGATGAGCACTACTGGGAGATTGCAATCCCGACCGGTAGAGGGCGTACTCCAACTCTTGGAAACGCAATAATGAAAGGCGTTGTTCTTGGTGTTAAATTCGGAACAAGCTTCATTTCGAAAGTGAAAACTAGAAATTTAATCGCGAATTGAAGCCAATTGGAATATTTTGCCTTTTAGCTTCAATGTGATTATAATGAATTTAACACAAAGAATTTCAGGTGTTCTTCGGGAAGAACATTGAAGGAGGGGGGAGAGGAAAGTCCAGATCTCACCCATTTCTTTTGAATTCCTGATCGAGACCCATATTTGAATTTTTTTTAAGAGCATATTGGCAATCGTTCAAATCGACACAAAAATTCCTATGTGAAACGTATGGGTTTGACTCACCTTGAATCCGTGAGAAAGTTGCATAGAGGGTGAAGGAGTAACTACGACTATTTGCGGCAGTTGCGGTGTCGCAGGTGGTGGGCTGCTGTCGATGCCGATGATCTTTTGTTTGTCATCCTGTAATCCGTTATCCCTAGCATTGTCTACTAACGGTTGAGTGCTTGCTGCTCTCTCCTCAACATTCTTGAATATTTGAAACATGACATTATAGCATCCCAACATGTGTTGAAATATAATCATTAGCAACTATGGTGTTGCCGAACGAAAATTGTATTTTACGAAATGTATGGAATCCGCGATCCTGTCATTGAATGGATACAGTGTACTCATTTACCCTTCCTGAGTGATGGGATCAGCACCGCTCAGAACGTTTCACAATTTTTGAAATTGCACAGTAGTAACGGCTCGAAAGGAAAGTAAACATTGCACATTGTGAACATAACATAAGTTCTATCAATGAGAATTTCGGCTGCAGAGTCAATAACCACGGAGATTTCAAATTTTCTAGCGGATGCTCCAGCCGATATCATCCGTGCATAAGACAGTTTTCGCGACAAACCGGGCGACTTTTAGCTTCACTGTCACATTTTAGATCGAAAATCCATAATTGTGGATCAGACTATTTGAGCAGTTCTTCAAGTACATCGTCTCGGTCGCTACGGATTTTTAAACATGGCGCTAGACGACTCATATGCGTAACCCACTGTGTTTGTATTTTGCTCATAACTATTAAGTGATTCGTTCTTGGCACTTATCTCTACTAGAGTGAGAGGATAAAGCCATAAGGAATAAGAAGAAGTGATTCGTTGTCAGTCTATCTTTCCCTCCCCCCTCTCCCACAAATTTTTGATACACTAAATACTTCAGTGTTTCAATATTTACACAAAAAAATTTGATGAAAGTGTAAATAATAGCACAAACCGTTTCAGTGATTTCCCCGGGATTTGTCATCTTAATTGCGATTGACCGTAGAGTCGTGGTGATTGTCTCACTCTCGGAGACGAGAGTTTGAGTTGCGTTTGAGAGTCCGCGAGGGACCTCCACCACGGTCCCGTCGACGGTGAGGATTCTAGAAACTGGGGAAGACAGGGTGGAGAGGTTGCTTTCCTGTTGCTGAGGGATCGGATCTTCTGGAGCTCGCCCATTCTTCATGTTCTCGCAATTCAATTGTGGAGGAATTTCTTGCGATTTTTCAGCAAGATTGCGAGGGTCAACCCCTTCGTTTCTTTCCAACAATGCTTGGGAAGCCTGGAAGGTTAACAAGCAGAAAAAAATATTTAAAACCGAATACTTCATTACTCTTTATTTACGGTATTGTATTTCACCCTTCAGTTCCTCTTTAAAGTGATACTTCTCATCAGAACTAATTTCGCTCATAAAAAATGGACAGTTTTAAGTGGCATGTTGTGGGGTTTTATGGTGGGCCAATAAAATCAATTTTATTGTGTCAATGACACATAATATGTACTTTCACCGAGGTAATTGAGTGAAAATGATATGTTATTGATGTTTGAATTTGGAACTTCCCAAAAGTTTTAGGGAAAGAATAAAAGAGATGCGGGAATTAATTCTACTCAGTAGTTTTCTAACATTTGTAAGTCAAAATTTAACATACTTGTCTGAAGAGAGAAGGAAAAGTCATTTTTGTTTCCGAGTAGTGCAATCGACCAAATCTATGTTTCCATTTTTTGACATAAGTTTTTGGAAAATTTCGCATTGATGAATCGCTGGAATTGAATAATTTTTTTCTCTCAAATGAAGATATCATTGGTCCCTATTTATCAGCATTTATTAAATTTAGATTTATCCATCAAAATTTTGAAGCCGAATTTCGGTACGATATTTGGCGGAATGTCCCATATAGTAAAAAAGTATGCAAAATCTCTACTCGGAAGCATGTTACTAATTTATTGGCCAGAACAAATATACTATGGGCAATACAGGACTAATTCCCTACCTGTTGTATATGAAAAATAATTTAATTTAAGCCGAAAGCCTTCGGGCGATGGTCAATTCCTCAGTCAGTTTCTTGTGACGAATTCCGTACAAATAAATGAAGTTAATAATGAAATTCTCCGATCACATTGATAATTCATTGCGTACCAACCTTATCCATAATTTCTCCAGAAATTTGTCCCTTTTCAATTATTGACGCAGAAGTCGGGCGGATGGCTTCATTTTCGTCCTTCAAACTGGCCTCTTTATCAATGAAGCCTTCAGTTTTTATTGGGGATCCGAGAGGTTCTTCTGAACGTTTGGCATGACTGTTGAACAGTATTGAGGCAGGAACTTCAAGTTTGTCCTCGATTACAGCGACGACGGGCGGGAGTCCAGCAACTTTTGTCGACAGTGAGTCCTCAAGCTCAGGACATTCTGGATCTTCGTTGGACCTCTCTGGCTCCCCGCCAGGACAGCTCATGACAACCGTTTGCCTCACAGCTTCGTCTTTTTCTCTGTCTTCAAGTTTTTGGGGGGTCTGGAGAGTGATTTACAGAAACGAAAAAGTTTAGAGTGTAATACTTCATTACTTACATTACATTGCATCTACCCAGGTGGGAAAAAGCAAGGCTGACAATGAAAACAGCCCTTAAACAGGCTTGCTTTGTCCAGGCTGGAAAAATATAGACTGATTTGAGGCTCAAATGAGCCTTGTTCAGTGAGGGCTGCGAAAGTGAGGCTTGCTTGAGACTGTTGTGAATCTCGCGGTGATGAGACTCATCAGAGTCACTCTGATGCAAGACCTGAATAAGCCTTGGTTGGATACAACTTGATGCATACATATAATTGTAATCGCATTTTTTCAAGTTGAATTTGACATTACAGAAATTAATTCAGGGACTTGCATAAATTGTGCAAATTGCCTGCAAACTTCGAATTTTATAACTAACAGACTCCAAATTATAATACTGGTTCCTCACAAAAATGTTTTTTCCCCTTCCTCAACTTTTTCACTCGTTAGTTTACGTTACACTCCGGCAAGCCGTCTAGCCTCCATAGTTATCATGCGGTGTAGTCTAACCTAACAGTTGGCAGTACTCAAATGAACGTTCTTTTTTAAACAAGTGATTAAATCAAAAATGAGTAAAAAATCATCATATTCTCGTGTAAAAAAACATCGATTCTTAATAAAGACTCATAATGATACCAGTGTCAATGAGCATGATGACGCAAACAGTTCCCATAAGTTTGAACAATTTGATGAATTTGATACGGATCATACAAATGCGACGCAAGATGATGTGGATGAAAATGCCGTAGTTAACGCAGGACAGGACAATTTAGACGACATTTGTTGTGGTAACAGTTTTCAGCAGAATTCCTCATGTGATTCGAGTACTGAGAACTCGTTAAACCAACTGTTAAATGACGAAGTGTTAGACACGAATGAAAGCCTGAATCCATCAGCGACAAAATCAGATAGTGACGTTTGTAATCTGGCTCCATTATGTTTAAAAGAAAAAATTAAACAGTGGGCTGTGGACAATATAGGAAGTGTACAGCTGAAAACTATAACCTCAATGCTCCAAATTTGGAGAGATGAAGGTTATATAGAAGTCCCTGCAACAGCAAATCAACTGCTTGGATACCGTCACTCCATCCAAAGTCAAAATATGATTTCAAAGAAAAAAACCATCGGCCAATATCTATACTTAGGAATTCTCAACGGTTTACAAAAACGATTATACTCAAATATTTATGAAAAAAGACTTGTTGGCATTATGGCGCACATCGATGGTTCAAGTGTATACAACGTCAGTAAAGGACAATTATGGTCAATCATAGTGAAAATGTCGGACGATGATTACACATGTATTCCCTTCGCAGTAGCTCTATACTATGGTGACTCCAAGCCGATGAATATGAACGATTTATTGGACGATTTTGTCACAGAAGTAAATGACTTAACTGAAAAAGGTTTCTCTGTGGATGATGAAAAGTATACTTTTAGATTAGATGGAATAATTTGTGATGGCCAAGCTAGAGTCTACATCAAATGTATCAAAGGCCCAACAGGATTTTCAGCTTGCGAACGCTGTACGGTACCAGGAGTAACGGTTAATAAAAAAAGAGTCTATCCAGAGACAAACTGTCCACTTCGCACCAAAGAAAGTTTCATTGCCCAAGTGGATAAGGAACATCATCCAGGTGCTCGTGTAAGTACAATCTTGAGGATTAAGGAATTAGATCCTATCAACGATTTTCCTATAGATCTAATGCATTTGGTTCTAAATATTATAAAAATGTTTTTAACTAAATGGATTGAGGGGCACAGGCAAAACAATATTCTATCGAAAGAGACAATGAAGATTTTCCAAATGTTGATGGACGGCATGACTCCATGGGTTCCACGGGAATTTCAACGCACATCATTCGATATTTCTGATCACAGCCACTGGAAAGCAACGCAATGTTTTTTTTTTTTACATTATGCAGCACCGATTATTTTACAATTTGTGTTGCCAAAAGCCGAATACTATCATTTTTTGCATTTAGTTGTTGCCAGTCGTATTTACTGCAATGCTAAATGGGCATTCACTGCTTGTCGAAAAGCGAATAAATATCTCCGGAAATTTGTAGTTCTCATGCCCACTTATTATGGCTCAGATTCGCAAACTATGCAGATTCACCTCCTGATTCATTTAATACAAGATTTTTTACATTATCAGGTTCCTCTGATAAATATATCTGCATTTTGGGGTGAAAATTTCATCGGGAAATTTAAAAATTTTGTGACAAACCAAGCAAGACCATTGGCTCAGATGGTTAATCGTTTGAATGCAGAGGAAAATTCCGATAAAATTAAATTGAAAAAACGCCACCTTATTGGTGAGTGTATTTTTGACAAAGTGGATGCTCGATACGAGTGGAATGGCTCTCAGTACTTGAAAATTCAATCCATCAAATACAAGGATATGACTCTGGCTACTAAAAATCCAAATAATCTTGTTGAACTGAACAATGGGGAAATAATGGAAATAAAATTGTTGTTCATCAAGGAGAATTTTGGCACAGATGTGAGGCAAGCTGATGATATTTATCTTCAAGGTCATTTGGCTTCAGCAACCGAAGATGTCTTCACAGTGCCATGTGCATCATCTCGTGTAGGCATTTTGAAAATCAGGGATTTCAAAAGGACTGTCTACACTTTTAATCTCACAGATGTAAAAAGTAAATGTTTACGAGCAATGATTGACAAACAGTATTATACAGTGTCTCTTCTGCATACTACATAAAGTAGGAGTGTTAATAATTTGTCTAATTAAGAAATATTTTTAAAAATTCTGGAAGAGAAACCAAAATAAATATAATTTTGCCATAAATGTATCACGTGACACACTTTTCAAGATGGCGACACCGCATGTCACATGTTGATCTAGGGAGTGAAACGCCGATGAAAAATATTGATAAAAATACCGTAATAATTATTATTTTTCAGTCAAGTTTTTGTGCAAAATAAAATAGATCATTATAAAGTGTGAAAAATTGAAGTCCATAAAGTTGGGTAACATCAAAAGGAACTTCGTGTCTCATCAAAGAAAATCAACTTGGACATTACTAAAAACATGGAGAAGATGAAAAATTTCGCTGTCGTCGATTTTTATACCGAAAGGACCTCCGATGGGAAACTTGTTATTGCAGTGGTTCCGAAGGAATGGATGAAGTGGAACAATGGCAACTGGTCGACTTATTGGCCATCTAAGGTAGCAAAAAAACAACTCGTTGAGTGGCAAAGCAGTGGAAAATCACCCAAAAATGATTGGTCACATCATACTGAAATAGAAATTCTCACCTGGGCTGGTAAGTAGTAAACACACAAATGACTGTTTTTTAACTCTTAATGATTTCTCTCCGGTCTTTACTATCTAGATAATTTCATGTCCGCTGAACGGAGGTGCGACAGGGCACGAACTCAGCGTGAGAATCTGAATTCCTCAGGCATGGAAAATACACCACGTAGCACGGTAAAGGTAGTGTCTAGGAACACTGCAAGAGATTCGATGGAGGCAACTGAAAGCTCAGACTCAAGTGAGCAAAGTCCTGATGAATTTCGAAAACGAAAAAAAAACAGATGAAAGGGCTTCAACGTCAGAAACGAAAGTTTTCGAGGTTATCAACGATACCAGAATCCAGTGACAGTGAAGACAAAAGTCCTCCGAGGCGATTGATATATATGGAGAATAAGATGGTGGATGATATCGGCCGAATCTCAAAACAGCGTAATTCTCCAGAACTCGATGATGGAAATAAAGCATGTGGAGCTGTTTTAAACGTTGAAGGGAGTCCAGGGAGTTTTAGTGGAGAAGCAACGTCTCTGACAAGTAAGTATAATCAGAAACTCTACTAATTTTTTGTAATGTACATTCATATTTCACTGTTGTAATGAAATTGTAAATATTATCCTTTGAAGCAAGAGTTAGTCGTCGCGAGTCATTGGCCATGACAAGTCCTGAGAGTAGTCAATTGGGGGCTCGTAATCATCGATCAACATCGGAACCAATACGTAATCGTTTTTTGAATTTTCCTTGCGTTTTTCTCAGAATATTTAATAACTGAACAAAATTCCAATTTCAATGTTCATCTTTTCTGAAATAATAGGTAAACTACAAAAAAACCACGGAGTCGAGGGTGAACTACTCGAATTAGAGGATCTGAAGAAAAAAATTACAGATCCTGCTCTAGGTATTTATCTATCCATCTTAACGAACCTATTTTCGTTGAGTATAAATGTAAATATCTATCACAATGGTAATTTTTTTCCAATTTTTAGAAGCACTTGTAGATTATTTTGACGTCAAACTGAACATTCTGAGAAAGGAAATGATGAATCAAGTCATCAGGAGTCAACGCAGTTTATCATATGACTTTGGCCGTAAAATGGAGAACCTTGGCGCAATTGCAATATCCGGAAACTCGGATGGGCGCACACATACCAAAGCCCCGAGAGAAATTTTGAAGACAAATTTTCCAATAGAAGCAATCCAGGATTTTGAAGAATTTGAAAAACTGATGGACCCCTCAGAATGGCCTAAAGAACAGGAGCAGACGGAGGCTTTAGAAAAGCAGGCGGCACTGGTAATTACTTTTTTAAAATAGGTTCATCTGATTTTTTTTCCGCCTTATTTTAATATTTAAAAAACCATTCTACAGAGAGCTTTGATGAGGATGATGATTGCTGGGTGTCAAACCAATACCAAGTGTGTTTCTGAGCTTATTGGCAAATTCCTGAAACCTGAAGTGCAATTGTGTTATACTGGAGCAGGCAGAGTCACAAAAGGACAGGGGAAACGAGCATTCAATAAAACGATTTTTTATGCGTGCATGGAAGGTAATTAAATCATTTTCATTTACTCATCTAAAACCTAAAATTGGGTTGTGCCTGCTTTCCAGCGATTGTTCCCGAAAAGTTTCCCAATCCAACGACTACCCTATTAACAGCTACTAGTAATTATTTGACCCAGGTCGCTAGTCGATGTAAAGATAAGTCCAATAATTAATACTTTTGAATACTTTTGTTGTTTGAAATTTCGTAATTTTCATTTATGGCACTTCATTAGTTAAAAGCAAATAATTTTTAACGTTTGAAAAAAAAAGAGAATTAATAACTTGTTATTATTATTTTTAGGCAAATATGGTACAGTAATGTTCAAAATATGATATCTTGTCTCCATTTAATATACCAATATTATCTACTATTTTCAAAAAAGAATAATTTTAAAGATATTCCTGTTTTTTGAAGATGATTTCGAAAATGTTCATTTTTTGTAATCACACACTAAATTTAAATGAATAAATAACATGGTTTTTCAGAATTTATGTGTATTTATTTACATATTGCTCGAGCATATTAACAACCCTGATTCAAGCCTGCTTTAATATGTTCTAAGGGTTTATTCAACCCTGTATGTTTTGTTCATCAAGGCTTGTTTTAGGCTAAACTATCAGCCCTGTTTCAAGGTTGGCTTTGCAGGCTTGAAAAGATGTTATCATTTCACAGCCTTAGACAGGGCTGATAAAGCCTTGCATATTCGACCCTAGTCCAGCCTATGCAAGCCCTGGATCAAGGTTGAAAAAGGATTTTTTTTTTTTGGAGTTTCCTACCTGGGGCATGAGTCTTGAGAGTATTTTTGTATGAATGCCGAACCTAATATCTCTCTGCACAATCCGGAAAACGGCTTCTTCAAAAACAAGACGACAAGGAACTTAACCATTTAGGGGGTTGAATCAACATTTCCGTTGGGGGGGGGGGGGCCAGCTCCATATATCTCTGATTTATTTTGTGTATATGTATCGCGGTGTGAACTCAATTTCCCACAGAATATGTTTCGAACAAAATCGGCATAAAATAAGTTTAGGTTAATGAGTCAAGATCAAATGGCAGTTTCGGAACTGTCAATTCTTTAACCATTGGTAGCCTATGCATATCCTATTAATTATGAATTTGGAAAGCTGTGGTACGATGAATTCGAGAAAAGGTTTGAGTTTTCATATATAATCAGAAACTGAGAGGGAAATGGTAATTGAAAACTTTCCGATATGCAAAGTCGCCATTTCCGCGGAATCGCCCCTATGTATTTTTTTTTTTTTTAGATCGACGCACTTTTAATTATCCCAAGATACCCTTCCAGTATGTTCTTTCAGTAGCTGCATGCCCCTTCGATAACTTAACACTCGATATCATGACTGAACAACACGAAATTATGATATCCTTAGTGACGTTGTATGTACACTGGGCCGACTACTTTACACTCGCAGTTAATTATCGATGAATATCTTGAGAATGAAAAGAGATGGGAAGAAAATTAGCATGAAATGCAGTTTTGTGATTGACGTACGCTGTTTAAAAACGGTGTTCAGAAAAAGCTCGCGACCTACTTTCATCCTTGAAAGTTCATCGAAGTCGACTGCCCGTGAATAAAACCCAATCACCCAGTTGAGTATTATATATAATATTTTCGTTGATTTAAGAGGTGAGCCAAAGGAGATGGCCAGCAATGAGTCGCTACTATATCCAGAGAACTCAAGACCAGGTACTAAAGCGTTATGTAACCTTAGGCTATAACAACCCCCATTCTTTTTTCAACAATCGCGGATCATTCGGTTCATTTCAATTGAGATAGAGGCCCTTTCCTTACTATAAAATGTACTATGGAGGAGAATACAGGAGGAATGCCGGGGAATTATTGAAGAGAAAAAGAATGAAACTAAATTCTTTACTACGGGTGGAGAAGTTGAAAATGACAATGATACAGAGAAGGAAAGTTGTCACATACAACGCTGACATAAGGAATGTTCCCCTCTGAAAACAACATATGTGGACGTCCGCATGAAAAGGGACCATTTTGGCGATTCTAGTTTTTGAAATATTACCATTTTTCTGCTTCCAACTCCTCTTTAAACCTAACAGAGATAGAGACATTTTGATCGAAACCTGTCTTGTAGATCTCAATTTTTCCTATAAAAACTGTTCCCAGCAAAAATCGATCATGGGCCTTAGATTAGGAGATATTGAGAGGAAGAAATTTTCATTTGTTTTCATAAATTGGTTTTCCTAGAATATCTCCGATTTCAAGAGAGAAAGAGGAATTCTGATGAGGACCTTTCGTGTAGAGCTAATTTATTTCTACAAAAAAATCTTATCATCAAAATTTGATTATCAACGGTAGATTCCGCGATATTCGTGAAAGAACGATTTTGGAAACGTAATCGAATTTTTTATCTTCCATTATATCACTCCCCAGTTGCTTAGAACACCAAGAACAGAAAAATGTTTGAGAGAAAATTTTCGGAGAAAGAAAATTTCTCCAGAACGGAAGGAAAAATTTAAAAATCGGTGAAGTATGAGTCAAAATAAGCCAAAATAAATCACTCCTCTTCATTTTTCTAGAACAAAGTTGGTCAATCGCTTATTTTGGCTCGTACTCGACCGATTTTACAATCGTTTCTTCCCTTGAGAAGTTTAGAATATTTCCTTTCTCAATTTTTTCTATTCTAGGTGTTCTAAGCAATTGAGGGGTGATATGATTGAAAGAACACAATTCGATTTAGGTCTGAAAATCGTCCTTTCTCGAAATTCATCAAGTAGTTGTATCTCGATATGGTCAGGCCTCAGTCGTCACCGAATATTTGTTTCCTGCATAGTTTCGGATGTTCAGCTTTCCGGTAAATACCAATAATGACATAAATAGGGAAAGGAACTTTTTTAAGCTTTCAGCAGCCAAAAGCCACTGCGTTCAGAGAATGGTGTATGTAATAATATAGTAACAATATAAAAAAAACACGTACAGACAACCCAGACACGTACAGACAACGCAGCCCAGGTAGGAAAAAATGAATGGGCCGGGCTATTGAAATATATTTGACTCGACCTTGTCCTAAGCGCATTTCCTGCAGGTTTGAGGTGAAATAAAAATTGATATTGGCCTACAATTGGCAGAGACCTGGGCCGGGCCTGGTTGCCGAGTAGTTCATGATAATTATGAATAATTACAAAAACAAAACAATTACGCCTTTTCCCTGTCATTTTTAACATACATTGTCAACTAATTACCAAGCCCTACCGCGATCATCGCTGAAAAACCGATTTTGTTGATTTAATATATTATCCTAAGGGGGGCTCGAACCCACGACCTAACGATTACTAATCCGGTGCCTTAACCACTAGTCTACTGCACAATACGTGAAGTCTGGACTTTTATATCGTTCATATATCAATTCAACTCAGGAGATTTAATTTTTTAGGTTAGAGAATGATTGAGTCACTCAATTTTATTATTGAATTGATAATTTCAAGTCGATTATAAATAATTATACTGATAAAAACAATAATCATTACAATAATTTTAACTGATTAATGAAAATAATGATAATTAAAGTTTTAATTACGTTTTTTTTTCTCTTCACGGTCATTAGCGGTTTGACGACTCTACTTTAGTTATTTTATGTTTACACTTACACCCTCAGAAAGTTACCCTTAAATTTCTACCCTTAACATTCCACCCGTCTGGAGCCCAATGGCCGAGCCTGGCCCACCGCAGGCGGGGACTTGGTTACCGAGTTCTGGCAATTAATGTTCGCTCGAAAAGAGGGAACCCTTGGCTACACTTGGTGACTAAGCCTGGCTAACCATCGTCTTTGCCAGCTCGGCCGTTCCTCGGGCCATCCTTTGGGACAGGATTGGTGACCAAGAACGGCTGACCATTGTCTTTACCAGCTTGGCCATCCTTTGGGCCAGGCTTGGTGACCAGGACCGGTTGACGATTGTCTTTTCCAGCTTGGCCATCCTTCGGACCACCCTCGGGCCAAGCTTGGCCGCCAAGCCTCGCGACCCAGTCTCGTGCCAGTCCTGGCCATCCCTCGGGCCAGGCTTCGGGCCCAAGCCTCGCAGCCGAGTTCCGTGCCAGGCCTGGCCCGTTTCGTGAGCATTGTCATTTCCTACCTGGGAGGTAAAAATTTTCAGCTCTGACAACTGGGTCGATGCTAGGCCCAAGCTTGATTCTTCGAGACTTGAAAGTCAGGTTTGGGCCAATGCTCAGCCGTCCGTTGAGGAGTCACACCGGGCCGATGCTGTTAAATATGCTGACCCAGATGTGGTTCGATGCTTGGTTAAACCTTGACGGCTTGATTCTCAGTTAGTCAGTCTCGAGTAGTGATGCCGCGATAATCGATAAATTCGAGATGATACGATAATGGACAGATGATAATCAAGACGATAAATCTTTTTTTTTATCGTATTGCCGGAACGATACGATACGATATTCGCCACGCGATAATTGACGATAATCGATAATATAGTTTGGACATTTGTAGTTTTCATTGTGGCATGCTTGGGCCTTCTCATTTTTTTTGTGTTACGCTGACAGGACGCGTGGGGACACTTGAAGACGCTGTCATGATCCATCCATAGAACTGTACACATCGTTTCGCTGTCCTTCTTCAGGTGTTTTGCTATTCAAAAATATTAGTTATGTAACCAGTAGATTTGTGTTTTAATTGGGAAAAGAACTATAATGATAATTTCAGTCGATAAAACGACGATATACGAGACGGTATGGGGAATTCCTGTCGATAAATTGTCGATACGATATTCGTCATTTCATTTATCGCATCACGATACGATACGAGACGATAATTTTCATTGAGATTTCGATACGACACGATAATTAAGGGAATGTCGCCTCATATCGTATCGCGGCATTACTAGTCTCGAGCCACGTTTTTTCGGTTCTCGGACCGAAACTCTTTTCGAGTTCCAAACCAATTTTTTTCTGCTGTCATAATAGATTACTTCCCTGATGGAAAATGATGAATTTCCTATCAGGGGAATTAAAGTTCAAGAGCAGGTGCACGTACGAAAATTTTCAATAGAAAACCCTCAAGAATCCTATATGAATTTCTATAGAACTTCTATTGAATTTCCTATACGTTTTTTACCGTTTCCATTGACATGTTCGATAAGAAGTATTATATAGAAAAAGTCAATGGAATTTCTTTTTTGTATTGCATTTTTTCGGCTCCAATGTTCTAAGTGTTTTTACTTATTTTTCATATTATTTTCTTCGAGAAAATTGAATGAAAAAACTTCGCAAATTGAAGCCGGAAAAATTCTCTAGAAAAATGAAATTCTATAGACTTCCTATATAATATTTTCTATTGCACACGTCAGAAGAACCG